CGAATTTCATATTTTATAACCAACCAGCTATATATATCAGAGCTCTATAAAACTTGACTACCACATTCTTTCACCTTTAATTTTCCTATCGGTCTCAGGGCAAGTCCCAAGGTATTACTTGACAAAAGGGAGTTGGATTAGTTCGGGCCCTTCAAATGGACTGGCGATGTCTTTCGGTGCGGGATTGTTAACGAAATTTACAAAGGTTACGCCGCAGCTTATTAATTAAATTAAAGTTGAGACTGCGTTTGCCAAAAAATAAGTATTGGAAATTGTTTATAGCAACTTCATGCGAATAATAAGCACTTCTTAACGCTTGCCGAGAGGAATAGGCTAAAATAATACCAAATGTCTGAGGTAAATTCATAAGCATGACGAAAATCATCTTCTAGTCATCTTTGAGAGCAATAAGCCATGTTACTCGTGAGACGAAAACCAAAAGAAGCCAGTGGTCCAGTAGCAGAAAAAGTCAATCACCTTCTCGCTGGGTAATGATCTCATGAGAGCTATCATATCACATGGCGATAAATTGACACTTCTGTACATATACGCAGATTAGGTATATGCGAATGTAATTTTGAATCCCTACTACAAGAATGTATTTATAGAGAGAAATCAAAGGAGATTGGAAAAAAATGAGATAAAAAGTACCTGAAGCGATGATGTCTTTGCAGGTTCGCAGTTGGCTGGACTTAGTTTAGCTCCATGCGAATGCAACGGTTGCCGTTCACCTGAGCTCAAGGGGAAACTATTAGCAGCACTTTGATTAGTCCTCGTAACAAGACTTGATCGACGCTGAGGTTGTCGCAGATTGTTTTGATTGCATTGGCTGCTAGGCTGTTGTTGTGACTGTTTTGACTTCAACTGTTGCAGCCTTAAATCAGCATCAATCATTCGAATAGGCTGTGTAGTTTGCCAAGATTGAACAGCGTCTTTCATGGCCGTAAGGACCTCGGTACGGGCATCAGGAGCCAACAAGTTGGCCGAGGAGGTCGAGCAAGGAAAAGAATCATGATGCTGTTTCTCCACACAGAGGCCCTTAGGTGCTACATCAGAAGGCAGACAAAAGGATGCCTTCTTATCGCCCCTGCCTTCCACGACCAACCGCTTTTGCTGGCTACCTCTGTCATTAGTGTCAATATTACTAGAAGTGTTGCTTGCTTCTTCGTTGGTAACGTCCAACAACGGTCCAGTTTGGTCCGAAATAAGCGTGCTAGTCTGTAGAAAGCTGGCTCGGATCATTTCGACTGGAGCTGTAGCTAATTGGGCCACCGTTGTACCAAGACGACGAGCCATCTTTAGGTCCCAGGCCTCTTCATAAGTAGCTTGTTGGCAAGCCGTCGAGTTGTCTAGATAATCTCCTAGACCAGAAGGGACCTCAGATTTGCTAGCAATGGTTATAGGCGACAAGGGGCTATTGAATACTGAGATTATAGGACAAAAAAGAAACGGCAATGGGGTAGAAAAGGCTTGAATAGACCACCTCAAATAGGGCAATGATATAAAGATTTGGCCTAATAATGTGTGCGGATCGATCATGTTCTCTAAAATAAAGCAAAGGAGGGTTTTATCAAACAAAATTTATAATATAATATAAGCCAAAAATGGGATAATGGTAGCTTAATAGTTCAATTATAATAATGGTTCAAGTATATAATATTAAAAGATATGAAGACCAAGATGGTGTGGCCTTTTGTGCGGTCGCAGTATCCTTTCGTTGTATAGAAGTTGTTTGACCTTGTTTTCGCAACTTGGTCATATTGGTAGGA